AAATGTTTTAAATTTTTTACCTGGGAGTAAGGCCCCCTTCCCCCCGAACCCCCCCCCCCCCCCGGGGGGTGCCTGTTGGTAGTCACGCCTCTGAACATTGACGCGAACCTGGAAATATGCGCGTAGCGAGAACAATTCATTTATTTCATCAAAACAAATAAGGAATGTTCATGAACTAAATTATATCATTAGCGAAACGGCAATAAATATATGATATATGATATAAAGTTCAATGAATAACTAAAAATAATAACCGTATTAATGAGGCATGTATTCGTATAAAAGTTGAAAACCAGATTTTAACAACACCCCCCCCCCCCAAAAAAAAAAAAAAAAAAAAAAAAAAAAAAAGATAATTTAAAGAAAGAAAAGCGTTTTACTCTGAACAACTTGAATTGATCTCATTGCCAGGTGACGGTTTTTGTTAAAGGTATCAAGAATGTAGTTTGTCTTGTAATACAGAAGTCTGAAGAGTCTGTCTAGATTTGAATGTTTGATTACCCCATCTGTCCAATTCAATAAGGCGTTTATATTTCGGTCTCTATCCATTGTTTTTCTGTTTGGAAGACATGCAGAGGTAGAAATAGACCAACAAATAATTGCGTAGCCTCTAACAAAAAGAAAACAACAAAAACGAGGAAGAGAGAAAGGAGAAAAAAAATGGGATATGGATAAAGACAAGTGCCCACTGGTGGAGAAAAGGGAAAGGGAGGGGGGCGGGAGGGGTGATCTACACCGGACGTTACTTTTTCTATCTATTAAGGGGCGGCATTTTTGGCCATCTGCTGAGATTGTGTGTGTGTGTGGGGGGGAAGGGGGGCGCAGCAACTATCTTGGCCCGCCCCGAGTGGCACTAAATCTTATACGCCACTGCAAGAAGCATGTTACGAAAGGAGACAGAGACGAGGGTAGAGTGAGACAGAGGGAAAGAGAGAGAGAGAGAGAGAGAGTGAGAAGGAGAGACAGAAAGAGATAACGAGAGAAAGAGAAAGAGAGGAGATAAAGAGAGAAGGAGATAGAGAGAGAAGGAAATAGAGAGAGAAAATGAGAGAGAGAGAGAGAAAATGAGAGAGAGATAGAGATGTGGGTTCAATTTTTAAAATATCTTAGTTCGTTAAAAAGCTTTCGTCAACTGCGCAGAAAATGTCCCACATTGCATCAAACTTCACATTGTAAATAAAAATATCGTACACAAATAGCTATTCTATTTGGGAAATAAAACTCTTGAGACAAAATGAGGTCCACCGGTCTCAACTATTTGTGGGAATATCAGACAGTGAAAGAAACAAAAAAACACACTCGTATATCCTGAACAAGGTTCCCGGATTTAGCTGCGCGGTAGGAACAAATACAAATTGCTACGTTTAACTCTAGCAGGCCTATGGGAAAGATGTTCCATGAAATTGATCCGCTAGTTAATACATGCGTATGCTATTGATTTAAAGCCTTGGATATTTTCGAATTTAAAACATTTTCATTATTTCTCAGCTCACAGTTGTTTTAATAACAATAAAAAAATGTTTTGGTTGTATACATTAAAACACTTTAAACATTTACACTTCAATGACCATTACATAGGTCACAGCTCAGCCTCAAAATATATCATCTAAACTTCACCTCAGTTCAAGATATTATCATTGCTCATCATTCATAAAATATATATATATCACAAAAGTTCATAAAAAAAAAAAGACAAAAACCTTCATGATGCTAGCCGCAAGTAATGACATTGTGGAGAATTGGATCAGGCAGTAGTCGGCAAACGCACTGGCCAAAAGAGCAAAAAATCAGCAGCAGGGCGATTACACAAAAATTGAGAGGGAAATTTCTTTTTAACAACATGTCAAGAGCCATGTTTTTCGAAGTGAAAACCGATTTGTGGTCGACTGACCGAGCCGCACTCAGGTCGCTAAAGAGCCGCACTCAGGTCGCTAAAGAGCCGCACTCAGGTCGCTAAAGAGCCGCGCTCAGGTCGCTAAAGAGCCGCGCTCAGGTCGCTAAAGAGCCGCACTCAGGTCGCTAAAGAGCCGCACTCAGGTCGCTAAAGAGCCCCACGAGGCTCGCGAGCCGCGATTAACCGACCACTGGCATAAGGTAAAGGGCCTAGTGGAAAGAATATGTTTTGAAGACCGCTCAGGGGGATGGGGCCTTCAATGTGTTTTAACGCGGCAGAGAGGCGAGGCACATGTCTAGAACAAGAAGCCCATTGACAACTCAATACAAATATGTAGGCAAAAAGACCAGGACGCCAATCGAAGGAAAGACCAAGTACAACCACGCAAGGAAAGAACAATAGAAGTAAACAATTTAGAGACCAATTTATGATAATTAAAAAAAAAATGTTTAGAAGAGATTGCATGTCACTGCTCACTGGCGCATTGCTATTTCTCACTCCCATATTATTGGAATTGCCCACTCCCATATTGGAATTGCCCACTCCCATATTGGAATTACTCACTCCCATATTGCTATTGCTCACTCCCATATTGGAATTGCTCACTCCCATATTGGAATTGCTCACTCCCATATTGGAATTGCCCACTCCCATATTGGAATTGCTCACTCCCGTATTGGAATTGCTCACTCCCATATTGGAATTGCTCACTCCCATATTGGAATTGCTCACTCCCATTTTGGAATTGCTCACTCCCATATTGGAATTGCTCACTCCCATGTTGGAGTTGCTCACTCCCATATTGGAATTACTCTTTCCCATATTCATATTGTAATTGCCTATTTGCCTAATGGAATGGCTCACTCACGTAGTGGAATTGCGCACATGAATCCTACAAATCACAAATAACCGAACTGAACTTTTTATTTTCCAGTGGTCCTTATAATGAACATATTTCTGAATAATATGTAACTTAATTGTTTAGCTCAAGTGTTTGGGGCTCGGTTACAAAATTTATTTGTACGCATAGCCCACCACTCCCTGTTTTTCCACAGTGAACCCCGTTGTTTTTATCAATATTTAAAAAAATAACCCCACCAAATCTCATTTCGCCGCCCCCTCTAGTCTGGCGCCCGGTGACATATGTACCTCTCTGCCCCTTTATATACGCCTATAGGAGGGGGGTCGCAATATTTACAACACCTAAGGGTGCCAGGGGTCCTCATCCATCACTGCCCGAGAGTCCATGTCCTACTACGAAGGAAATACCTCCAAAAGTAGGCCAGTGACGTCTTCTTCAATGAATAGGTCGTAGTGAAAGGGTCCCAGGCCATGGCACGGGGCGTGTCTGTGGGAATCATCATCACGACCGGCGGCACGGTGGTTGGGTACCTAAGGGAAGAGGGGGGGCAAGAGGGGCGGCTGGGGGGATTGAGGAATGGGCTGTAAGTAGGGAGCCCTGGGGTGATTTGAATATTGGGTTATCAAACCTTTTCATAACTGGCTTTGCCAGGTTTAAAAGGGTGCTCAATGACGTGAATCCTTGCATGGGTTTTCCCTGTTAGGTGTTAAGTTCAGGGGGAGAGGATGTGTCCTGTCACTGAAACTGTTTTAAAATACAACCGACTACTCTCCAACACCAATGAAAAGACATTTAAAGTTTTCACAAATATTCATACGTAATTAAAAGTGTGTGGTAATTGTCTGTATCAATTCGAATAAGTGATTTTTTTTCAGAGAGTGTCAGTGTGTTTGGTTTGTGTTTTTGTATACCGCTACTTGATGTGTTGGTGAGCGTGTTTGGTGTGGGGAGGTTTTTGTGCAGCTGTTGGTATGCGGTTTGTATCGGTGGCGTTTTTTTTGGTGTGTGTGTGTGTGTGTGGAAGAGGGGGGGGGGGTAATGAGGGTTGGCTGCGTTCGATGTTATGGTGTTTGTGCTAGTCAATGATAAGTGAGAGGGGAACGAATAAGGCAAGCTGAGCTGTTGTGAATAAAGAACCATATCAAATAGTAATCTATTTGGTGGGGGGAGGTTTTTGTGTAGCTGTTGGTATGCGGTTTGTATCGGTGGCGTTTTTTTTGGTGTGTGTGTGTGTGTGTGGAAGAGGGGGGGGGTAATGAGAGTTGGCTGCGTTCGATGTTATGGTGTTTGTGCTAGTCAATGATAAGTGAGAGTGGAACGAATAAGGCAAGCTGAGCTGTTGTGAATAAAGAACCATATCAAATAGTAATCTTGACATTGTTACCAATATAATCTTGGCATTGTTACCAATATAAACTTGAAAATGTTACCAATATTAACTTGACAATGTTACCAATATAAACGTGACAATGTTACCAATATAAACTTGACAATGTTACCAATATAAACTTGACAATGTTACCAATCTAAACTTGACAATGTTACCAATATATAAACTTGACATTGTTATTTATTACACCAAACGAAATCATTGAGCTGTTTATACAACGACCTGTTTGTAACAATTCTGTCAACAAACTGTGAGACACAAACACTATTTTAAAAATATGTAAATTACACAGTATTACAATGCTTCAATTATCATACAACAAAATACAAATTCTAATCTTTCGGCTCATGCCTACATCAGTTCTGATGCGCTGTAACCCATGCGTTAAATGGCACCTACCAAATATTTGTCATGATCTGCAAGGATGATACATCCCACAAAACTACCGTACATCAATATCACACATCAGTTGAGCTGGAATGCAATTGATATGTGAAAGACTAGTTTATTTAAGTCTGTCAGCTTTATAGGTTCACTGCTATGGAGTTTTTATCTGGCTAAACATTATGCTTAGGAGCCGGCTACTGAGACAATCTTGAACTATTTTCCATAGCTCTGATGTGTCCGTCAAGATACCAGATCGAAGGATGGCCACGATGGTTGAGATGTGGTGGTCGGTGTTCAGAGTCAGTGAAGTAGGCCCACAATAGCATGATGTTGTGGTCGGTGTTCAAGAGTCAGTGAAGTAGGCCCACAATAGCATGATGTTGTGGTCGGTGTTCAAGATTCAGTGAAGTAGGCCCACAATAGCATGATGTTGTGGTCGGTGTTCAGAGTCAGTGAAGTAGGCCCACAATAGCATGATGTTGTGGTCGGTGTTCAGAGTCAGTGAAGTAGGCCCACAATAGCATGATGTTGTGGTCGGTGTTCAGAGTCAGTGAAGTAGGCCCACAATAGCATGATGTTGTGGTCGGTTTTCAGAGTCAGTGAAATAGGCCCACAATAGCATGACGTTGTGGGTTGTGGTCGGTGTTCAGAGCCAGTGAAGTAGGCCCACAATAGCATGACGTTGTGGTCGGTGTTCAGAGTCAGTGAAGTAGGCCCACAATAGCATGACGTTGTGGTCGGTGTTCAGAGTCAGTGAAGTAGGCCCACAATAGCATGATGTTGTGGTCGGTGTTCAGAATCAGTGAAGTAGGCCCACAATATCATGACGTTGTGGTCGGTGTTCAGAATCAGTGAAGTAGGCCCACAATATCATGACGTTGTGGTCGGTGTTCAGAGTCAGTGAAGTAGGCACACAATAGCATGACGTTGTGGTCGGTGTTCAGAGTCAGTGAAGTAGGCCCACAATATCATGACGTTGTGGTCGGTGTTCAGAGTCAGTGAAGTAAGCCCACAATATCATGACGTTGTGGTCGGTGTTCAGAGTCAGTGAAGTAAGCCCACAATATCATGACGTTGTGGTCGGTGTTCAGAGTCAGTGTCTTTATATCTTTGTGGACGTTCTCAAGTCTGGCTATGTCCCGTTAAGAATGTCTGAAGTCCTGTCTGTGGAGACGGTCAAGGCCACGGCAGGGGCGTCGTTAGGGCCGGGCTGAGCGTTGACGTATCCACTCGATCTGCGCGTGTGAGGAGCTGGTTGTTCCAATGGTTCTGGACTTGGCGTGGGGGCCCCAAACCATGGTTCTTGAAACAACTGATCCCCTGGAAAATAATAATGAGATGCCTTTATTGATTGATGGTGAGATGAATTTATTGACCGATGGTGAGATGAATTTATTGGCATAAACTTTCTGGAACACGACGCACCACCAACCCCATCCCACTCGCAAAAGCAAAATCCCACCCCAACTACCATCACATCCCAAAATCCCACCCCAACTACCATCACATCCCAAAATCCCACCCCAACTACCATCCCATCCCATAATCCCACCCCAACTACCATCACATCCC